AATCTTCATAACAGCATGCATAGTTTTGGTTTACATACAGACAAATAGTTATCAAAGGTATCAGGCTTATAAGTTGATACGCCAGACGCGCGATTCGTCTACATAAGACTCATCAGTGACGCTCAGATCAAAATAGTAAGAAAGCCAAACAAGTATAAAGTTGAAGAGCATTGAGGGCCGAAAATTGCAAAAGGTTGTGCCAAATACGGCTAAGGTAATCTATGCCCTTGATAAGAAAATCCTTAGTATTTCGAATAATTCCTACTTTTGCAAACAGTTAATTTATAAAAATGACCATATAATTGATATTCATGTCAACACCAAAGTGCTGACTACTGCGGTGGTGATACCCTCAGGGACGAAACGTCCACCAGCAGTGGAATCGACCCAGTGGTGTAAATAGTTATCAAAGGTACCAGGCTTATAATTTGAAACGCCAGACGCGCGTTTCATCTACATAAGACTCACCAGTGACGCTCAGATCAAAAGAGTTATAAAGCCAAACAAGTACAAAGTTGAAGAGCATTGAGGACCCAAAATTCAAAAAAGTTGTGCCAAATACGGCTAAGGTAATCTATTCCTGGGATACGAAAATCCTTAGTTTTTCGAAATATTCAAAGTTTTGTAACAGGAAATTTATAAAAATGACCATATAATTGATATTCATGTCAACACCGAAGTGCTGACTACTGGGCTGGTGATACCCTCGGGGACAAAAAGTCCACCAGCAGTGGCATCGACCCAGTGGTGTAAATAGTTATCAAAAGTTAAAACAGATGTTGTAGATAGGGTGAGGGTACATAAGACTTTGTGCCAATATACATGTACATACACAATCGTATAACGCCTAGTAATATATGTACGCACACTAATTACCAACCTATTGAGTGATTGATTGGTGTTTAACGCCACTTTCACCACTATTATGCTATTTTGTGGCGGTCAGTTTTTATTGGTGGAGGAAGCCATAGTGCTTGGAGAGACCCACCTACTTTTGGTAGGAAAACTGACAAACCTAGTCAATTAAGATCGGCGTCAAGCGTTCCTGCCACATGCAGGCTGAGAACTCACAATATCAGTCTTGACAGGTCAGTGATACAGTAGTTCGACTACGTAGATGACTCGGCCACCGACCAATTAACATCAGTATACATGTTGTTTTTGAATATTGAATAACGCTTTTAAATTTTTTTCGAAACTCAAATCTATCCAAAGAACATGAAGAATGACTATAGAATTATTCATTGTATATCGTGTTTCTGTTATTCCGTTGTTTTCCTCTTAAAGTTGATGTGTTTCCTTCAGTTTTGGTTTTTGACCGGGTTTGTTTTCGCTTGATCGATTATGACTATTGAACAGCAGTATACTACTTTTGATTGTTTTTTTAAAGTCAGTTAGTACAGCTGCACAAGCGACGTATTTTTTTCTTAGTTTAATTTGGATCTGGACTTGGGTTTTCCGAAAAAAAATTAAAAAAAAATTACCGACCTTTTTCAATAAGCAGGGGATCATACAGACCCGGAATTTAGTTTGCATGGCATATGTTATAGAAAGGAATAGACCAAAAACACTCATTTAATACAATTTTCAAGTATACCAATGCCTAGCCTGCTGCATTGACCATTGAGTTTATGTTGATATTCCTAAATAAAAATCTTTACTACAAGTATCACATAAATTTAACATGATCCAAGAAAATGAGGTCAAGTTCTGGTAAACCCAACCGGAAAAAACCTGTACGCCTTATAATCATTCCACACACCACTATAGTTGACCTATTGCTAATTGTGTCTTTGAAACGAACTTAACCAGGAATACTGAACATTGACCAATGAAACATGAAAGTTAGGACAATAGATATAAGAAATATGTTGTATAAGTGTCAATGAGACCACTCTCCATCCAAGTCACAATTTGTAAGAGTGAACTATTATAGGTCAAAGAACGGCCTTCAACACGGAGCCTTGGCTCACACCGATCAGCAATGCCAGATGAATCATGCCAGACAGACATGTACACCTTACAATCAATATATACGTTAAAAATAGTTGACTTAATGGTTATAGTATCTAAGAAACAAACATAACCATGAAAACTTTAGATTGACCAATGAACCATGAAAATGAGGTCAAGGTCAGATGATACCTGCCAGACAGACATATACATTTTACAACATTCCATATACCAAATATAGTTGACCTATTGCGTTTAGTTAAAACAAACCAAAACATAAAAACTTACACTGAGCAATGAACCGTGAACATAAGGTCAATGTCAAATAAACCTGCCAGACTGATATGCACAGTGAAAAATATTTCCATACACCAAATATAGTTTTAGAAAAAAAGACCAAAACACAAACACTTAACGTTCACCACTGACCCATGAAAATGAGGTCAAGATCAGATGCCACCTAGGCCTGTTAGTTGGACATGTACACCTTACAATCATTCCATACACAAATTATAGAAGACCTATTGCTTATTGCATCTGAGATATGGACTTGAGCACGAAAACTTAGCCTTGTTCACTGATCCATGAAATGAAGTAAAGTTCAGCTGAAAACTATCTGATGGCACGAGGACCTTGCAAGGTCGCAAACACTAAAGACAGTTATCCTGTTACTCATGCTAAGAGAGAAATTAACATTACAAAAAATCTGAACTTTTTTTTAAGTAGTCACTGAACAATGAAAATGAGATCAAGGACAATAGACATATGAAAGACAAAAACTTCATAGCATAAGGCATCTATACACAAAGTATGAAGTATCCAGGTCTTCCACCTTCTAAAATATAAAGCTTTAAAGTAGTTAGTTAATGCCGCCGCCGCCGCTGCCGCCGAGTCACTATCCCTATGTCGATCTTTCTGCGACAAAAAAACATCTTAAATAGATCGTGCTTGTTTGTAATAACATGAATAAGTACGACCAAGAACAACATATAGTCGATTGACCTAAAGTAGTCTCTGAGTCGCAAACTGTCTAACTGTCTTTTTTGTAACCCTTTAGGATATTTTGTAAACACACACTCAACATGATCTAGAGGAAGAATTTTTTATAACATTAAAAAATATCGCTGAAACAGGAACCGTTTTATAAATTTGTTCTTATATACATGTCTTTGAAAGCAATTTGAAGTCTGATCAGCATGTATTATTGTTATTATTTTACTTAAAGTTAGACACAAGTCATAATATACACCCATGCAGAATGGTTAAAATAAAGATATATCTAGATAAGGTAAAGGTCTGATGTTAACATGTCATCTGCCGATAAGGTATGCACATGTATCATGTGTGTCTCAATAGCCAAGCATGAGGAAACTATCAATTATCCTTAGGTCAACTCTCAATAGGTTATTAAAAATGAAAAATTTATCGCAAACAGACTATGTTTCTGTAGCTTAGATCTGTATAAAAGGGACAAGTAAGAAAAAGAAGTCGTGAGTGGGTGCTTACTAACTATTGGGTGGTTTTCGAAAATGGTATTCTTATCTTTAATGGCTATTCAATTTTCTGCCCGACCTTTATCGTAGAATATTGTAGAATGTAGAATGCCTTTAATATTAGGAAGACTTTTTAAAGTCATATTATTGCGACTATGGTTACTGATTCACAGTCCAGGACGATATTTTAAGTGCTCATTGAGTGGATGGCTTCGGCCAAGCTGGGAAACCATAGCTCTTATGGTATTTGTCATGTGATTATTTTTTTTACAATTTGCGAACCATAGTGCAAGGTCCGAAAAATAAAAAAAGGACCTAGATCATAGGAACTTGAAATTCTTATCAATAAATATCTACAAATATTTACTGACATTTATTGAAGATTTAAACTTCCTGTGGCTACAGCTATGTTTCTCTAGCTACAATGTAGCTTGAGTCTCGCCAATTAAGTTGAATAAACAGTTATAAAATAAAGGTTTGTGGTTTGATTCGCAAAACCATATGATTGTCATATAATATAAGCCTTCGTTTGATTATTATCGTTTGCATACAACGTTTAAATCGGTAGTTCGCCATTGATGAGGGTCTAGATTGGGTCCTTCATTTCTGTATTCTCTAATTTTTTATGGCATTTTGCACTTTTCTTTATACTTTTTGCCCATAATTATCTATTCTTCACATTTTAGCACCTCATTATGTTCCATTCTTATTTTTTAAGATTCATTTTTCTCTATTTTTTATATTTTTTTGCCCATTATTTTCTATTCTGTAAACGCCCATCCACACCCTTACATATATTCCTAAAAACATTTATCCGATACGACGATACGTTGAATGCAAACAATTTGAAACAAACGAAAGCTTATACTATATGGCTTAATCAATGTTCAATAGTAGAAAAAAAATATCAACCTACCAATAGGTCTAAATACGGTTATATTTGAGCTGAATAAATCGAATAAAAGAATGAAAACCAGCAAAAACATGGTGTGTACCTGCATGCTGCCATTTTACTTTTCAGGTCATGACCTCAAGAAAATATAAGTATTATGATGTATATGTTTTTCTTAAGACTCACGAGAAGGGGACTTAAACAAATACTGTGAAAATGACCACATCAGTAAATTCAAAACCACCTTACACATGATTTTTTGGCATATTTTATGGCTTTTGGAATTTGTATTTCTGTGATCTAATATGATCAATGTTAACGACAATAAAAAGGTTTTTGTAGTGGGGACCTGACTCGAGTCCCCAGTAGAGTTTAAGTCCCCACTTGACCGTTCGTGTAACTTATGCAAGTTCTTAGTTCAAGGGGTGTGTCGACACAAACACACTCACACACACACATTTGGAAGGTCATTTGTTACAAAGACTTACTTTATCAGACCATATTTTGCGTGCTTTTTTCGAAAAAAAGTAATACATTTGTTTCTACGCTTGTTATGCACGTGCTTCGTTCAACATGTTACATGTGAAAACAAAATTGGGGGAAAAACTAGTAATGTCACTTCATTCGTCAATGAAGGTGTTTAAAATGTAAAAGATACTTACCAGAAGGACTGATCAATCATAATGTAAAATTCTTTTTTTTTCTTTACTTTTTGTCATCTGAAGAGACAAAGAAATATTAACATAATATTACATTTATAACTGTAATTGGTAAGTGGATCCAATGATTATTAATACTAATACTTTTGAAACTACAGATTATCTTCTGATTGCATTCAGTCCGCACACATTACTAACAGACAAAAAACACAAGCAACTATGCTAATATCTCCTTGATTGTATCAAAAGGAAAATCAAAGTTAGTGGAACAGAACACATACATGTACCAATATACAACTAATAAAAAAATAAAAACAAACAACAAAAAAAACCCCGAAAAGACGGTGCGAGCAGTTTACAAAGAAAACGAACAAAGAAAAAGTGTGCAGCGTGTGCAGATGTTCTTTTTTAACCCATACCAAGTCAGGAATATGACATGTTGCCATTCGTTCTGTTGATAGATAACGTTTGCATTTGTCAGTCTTTGTGCACTCCCACTTTTCTGAATTTACCTTTGAATTCGATATTTGTGGTTTACTTTTTTTTACCTCTTGAGAAAGCTAAAATTTTCTATAAATGTATAGCTTGCATAGATTATATTTTAAAAATCCCCTGGAAAAATGTGTTTAATCCTCTAAATTTTAAATCCCAACATTTGTGATTTTTATTACAATTTTTTTTCGTTAGCTGCCGTCCACATTTGACATTTCGTAGCAAAAGAGCCACAATGTTGACTTGCTGAGATCAATAAATGCGTAAATATTGCAATGAAATAGAAAAAAAGCAAGTACTACATCAAAAATTTATTTAAATGAGAATTTTGCGAAGACAAGTAACGGTAAACATTTAGCTTGAGAGTGTTAATTCGTCTAGAGTCATGTTTATTTCCATGACGTTTTTGCGTTAGGATTGTTTATGACATCTAGCGGAATTTATTTTATTTTAATTTTATACATTTTTCCAAGCTCTAATGCATCAATTGTTTTTGTTATGCATCAGGATAGTAATAACGGTTCAGTAATTTCAATTTTAACACAGCAAAATTAACAGAAAGTTTGCAAACAGGTTACGATACATGTTAATCTACGTGGGAGGCATATTGGAACAGCAATAGATATGATCATCTCTGAGTCTGCGCTTGGTAAAGATATATTGATAATTTAATCACACTGTTGTTTACTTTACAAAGCGAAAGCAGAAAATCATTATTTTTGTAATATAACTTATTTTAGATAAGATGTTTACTCTTTTCTGTTTTATGTGTTTGATTTTGCTTTTTTTTCTGTACATATCTAGCTGTAAATAAGATATTAATTCAATTTGGAAATGCATATAAAGCCATTTGCTGTTTTCTGCACTTTGGTCGGGTTTTTGTCTATTTGAAACATTCCCCAGTTCCATTCTCTATTCTTTATATTGATATTTTATCATTTGGACGCAACATGTATGACTCACATGAAGCTGTTTTAAAATCTACATTTTGAGAAAAATTTATGCATGAATCAATGGGCAGAATTACACATAGTACCATACAGAAAGTTCACAAGCAACATGAAATTGTAACAAATAAAATTCCAACTTGAAACCAAAAAAATGTCAATAATATGTATTGTTCTGTTTAAATAAAAGTGTGTACATCAATATCATTTACCTTGCCAATGAAAACGAAAAATAATCCTGTTTCTGCGTGTTAGAAAACCCAAACATAAATGTGTCCAAACGACGCCATTTACGTTTCAAAAGTTGGTCAGGTATAACAAATACAACCAATTTAAGATACACATTCAGTCAAATATTGATATTGCTAAATATAGATTTTTGTAACATAAGGAGTGTTGACATAATGGATTTTTTTTTTGTATAGCAAAACTAGAATATAATTGCCAATATTTCAATGTGATATTACATCGGTAAATGACAGAATATTGTATATAGAAATTTTTTGTTTGTAATCAAAACTGACTTAAAATTTGCAAACAAGTTACGACAAATGTGGATTAACGTTGGATGTAAATTGTACCAGCCATTTAAATGAACATCTCTGAGTCTGTGCTCAGTAAGATTTATCGAGTATATATATTATATTACACTTTTACAAAGCGGAAGTAATCTAACTGATTAAAGATAAGAATTTCCTCTTTTATGTCTAAATTTTTGTTGTTTTAGATCTGATCATATTTAGCTGTAAATAAGACATTAAATCTAATTAAAATGCATATTATATGTTAGTAAGGTCATAAACCAATTTTAATTTTATACATTTTTCCAAGCTCTAATGCATCAATTGTTTTTGTTATGCATCAGGATAGTAATAACGGTTCAGTAATTTCAATTTTAACACAGCAAAATTAACAGAAAGTTTGCAAACAGGTTACGATACATGTTAATCTACGTGGGAGGCATATTGGAACAGCAATAGATATGATCATCTCTGAGTCTGCGCTTGGTAAAGATATATTGATAATTTAATCACACTGTTGTTTACTTTACAAAGCGAAAGCAGAAAATCATTATTTTTGTAATATAACTTATTTTAGATAAGATGTTTACTCTTTTCTGTTTTATGTGTTTGATTTTGCTTTTTTTTCTGTACATATCTAGCTGTAAATAAGATATTAAATCAATTTGGAAATGCATATAAAGCCATTTGCTGTTTTCTGCACTTTGGTCGGGTTTTTGTCTATTTGAAACATTCCCCAGTTCCATTCTCTATTCTTTATATTGATATTTTATCATTTGGACGCAACATGTATGACTCACATGAAGCTGTTTTAAAATCTACATTTTGAGAAAAATTTATGCATGAATCAATGGGCAGAATTACACATAGTACCATACAGAAAGTTCACAAGCAACATGAAATTGTAACAAATAAAATTCCAACTTGAAACCAAAAAAATGTCAATAATATGTATTGTTCTGTTTAAATAAAAGTGTGTACATCAATATCATTTACCTTGCCAATGAAAACGAAAAATAATCCTGTTTCTGCGTGTTAGAAAACCCAAACATAAATGTGTCCAAACGACGCCATTTACGTTTCAAAAGTTGGTCAGGTATAACAAATACAACCAATTTAAGATACACATTCAGTCAAATATTGATATTGCTAAATATAGATTTTTGTAACATAAGGAGTGTTGACATAATGGATTTTTTTTTTGTATAGCAAAACTAGAATATAATTGCCAATATTTCAATGTGATATTACATCGGTAAATGACAGAATATTGTATATAGAAATTTTTTGTTTGTAATCAAAACTGACTTAAAATTTGCAAACAAGTTACGACAAATGTGGATTAACGTTGGATGTAAATTGTACCAGCCATTTAAATGAACATCTCTGAGTCTGTGCTCAGTAAGATTTATCGAGTATATATATTATATTACACTTTTACAAAGCGGAAGTAATCTAACTGATTAAAGATAAGAATTTCCTCTTTTATGTCTAAATTTTTGTTGTTTTAGATCTGATCATATTTAGCTGTAAATAAGACATTAAATCTAATTAAAATGCATATTATATGTTAGTAAGGTCATAAACCAATTTTAATTTTATACATTTTTCCAAGCTCTAATGCATCAATTGTTTTTGTTATGCATCAGGATAGTAATAACGGTTCAGTAATTTCAATTTTAACACAGCAAAATTAACAGAAAGTTTGCAAACAGGTTACGATACATGTTAATCTACGTGGGAGGCATATTGGAACAGCAATAGATATGATCATCTCTGAGTCTGCGCTTGGTAAAGATATATTGATAATTTAATCACACTGTTGTTTACTTTACAAAGCGAAAGCAGAAAATCATTATTTTTGTAATATAACTTATTTTAGATAAGATGTTTACTCTTTTCTGTTTTATGTGTTTGATTTTGCTTTTTTTTCTGTACATATCTAGCTGTAAATAAGATATTAAATCAATTTGGAAATGCATATAAAGCCATTTGCTGTTTTCTGCACTTTGGTCGGGTTTTTGTCTATTTGAAACATTCCCCAGTTCCATTCTCTATTCTTTATATTGATATTTTATCATTTGGACGCAACATGTATGACTCACATGAAGCTGTTTTAAAATCTACATTTTGAGAAAAATTTATGCATGAATCAATGGGCAGAATTACACATAGTACCATACAGAAAGTTCACAAGCAACATGAAATTGTAACAAATAAAATTCCAACTTGAAACCAAAAAAATGTCAATAATATGTATTGTTCTGTTTAAATAAAAGTGTGTACATCAATATCATTTACCTTGCCAATGAAAACGAAAAATAATCCTGTTTCTGCGTGTTAGAAAACCCAAACATAAATGTGTCCAAACGACGCCATTTACGTTTCAAAAGTTGGTCAGGTATAACAAATACAACCAATTTAAGATACACATTCAGTCAAATATTGATATTGCTAAATATAGATTTTTGTAACATAAGGAGTGTTGACATAATGGATTTTTTTTTGTATAGCAAAACTAGAATATAATTGCCAATATTTCAATGTGATATTACATCGGTAAATGACAGAATATTGTATATAGAAATTTTTTGTTTGTAATCAAAACTGACTTAAAATTTGCAAACAAGTTACGACAAATGTGGATTAACGTTGGATGTAAATTGTACCAGCCATTTAAATGAACATCTCTGAGTCTGTGCTCAGTAAGATTTATCGAGTATATATATTATATTACACTTTTACAAAGCGGAAGTAATCTAACTGATTAAAGATAAGAATTTCCTCTTTTATGTCTAAATTTTTGTTGTTTTAGATCTGATCATATTTAGCTGTAAATAAGACATTAAATCTAATTAAAATGCATATTATATGTTAGTAAGGTCATAAACAGGGTATATAAAGTGACATTCCCGGCTTAGAGTTTATATTTCCTGAGTCGAAGGCGAATCGGATATAAACCCTTAGTCAGGAATGTCACATTATATACCCTGTCTGAAACCTGAATTACACATATATTTCAGATAACCCTTGGCTTAATATTAACCAGGTATTTGTTAAACATTCAACATGCAGTATATATATATTCATTATATG